TAGTATTTGACTTTAATGTTTTTATTTTATTCACTTTACTAAAGATTTGTGGGTGCAGCCGGCGGTCCGGTTCCTGTTTTCTTTCCTTTAATTTTCCACGTTTTTCCTGTCGTTCCTCGCAGCTCCTCAGTTTTTACAGTTTTTCTGTGTCAAATTTTAACTTTGGGCTCATTTATTTCTCCATAAACGCCGAGCGGATGGAAACGGCCTCGGTGTGATGACAGAACAATAACGCAGCGCCTCAGACCGACGGTAGTTCATCAATAAAAGCCTTCATTGGATTTTCATTAAGTTAATGGCACGCCGGTGTTTTTATGGCCTCTGCGTCGTGTCCCTCCGTCAACAATAAACCAGAGTGAAGCTGTTACAGTTAATGATGGCAGGGAGTGCTGGCATATGTGTCCCCTCGTCCACCGTCCCCCCACAGCATCACTGAACTTCTCATGTCCTTGGTGGTTCAGAAAGAAGGTGGCAGCGTCTCATCAGGTCCGTTAGACTCATCTGAGATTTATAAAACCACTTCCTGGCCCTCAGATTCAGCCTGTCAAAGCGCCTCGGCTCTTTAAAGCGTCTTACCTGCACCCCCTCCCCAGGTGAATAACTTTGGGTCTTTTCTCTTGCAGCGGGCCCTCAGTCCGGCCTGTTGGGGAAATGTCGGAGGCCTCGCACCGCCTTCACCAGTCAGCAGCTCCTGGAGCTGGAGAACCAGTTCAAGCTGAACAAGTACCTGTCCAGACCCAAACGCTTCGAGGTGGCCACGTCCCTGATGCTGACCGAAACACAGGTGAGACACCTGCAGGCGTCCGCCGCGCTGCGAGGGCCACAACAGACCACTGGTCTGTCAGATACCTGCAGAAACATCCTGTTCAACATCAGAACAGATTACCCTCCTGCTGCCCTGGGGTCGAAACAACCCATGAAGCCTCTGTATTAAGACGAGGCCTCATGGGTCATTTTGACCCAAGGGCAGCAGGAGGCGCAGCACAAATCATAAAAAGGCTCATTTCCCCAAAACTCCAGACGTTTTTCTAAGTTCAGGCCCAAACTGGGCACTGAAGAACGTTTTAAAGGCATAAATTATTATTCGCTATCATTTTGTTTCTACATTTTGATTTTTACGTTATGTTGTGTGTTGCTGTGTGCTTTACCTGTTTGTTTCTGTTTGTACAGCACTTTGGTTGGCCTTGTCGCTGTTTTAAAATGCTCTATAAATAAAATGGTATGGTATAAAACTGAACATTTGTAACAAAGTTAGCAAACAAATTATCTTTGAAATAAACAGCTGTTGCTCGTTAAATAAAACCGGGCAGTATTTGTTTATTATTATAAATTAAGTATAAATATTTAATCCGAATGAGGTATTTTTACCCACAAACCTGCTGCTTCATGATTTGAAATTACTTTTTTTTTTTTTTTTTTTTGTGAAAAAATTTAACAAAAATCTAAAACCAAAAGAATCCATCACCTTTACCCGCTTCTTCCTTTTCGGATCGTGGGGGGTCACTGGTGTCCATATCCAGCAGTCACTGTGCGAGAGGCAGGGGACACCTGGACAGGTCTCCAGTCCATCACAGGGACACGGAGACAAATGAGACACCCATTCACTCTCTCACACACCTAGGGACAATTTAGAGTTACCAATCAGTCTAACATGCATGTTTTTGGTCTGTGGGTGGAAACCAGAGTACCCGAAGAAAACCCACGCATGCACGGAGAGAACATGTAAACTCCACCCAGAAAGGCCCCCAGACCGGGGTTTGAACTGGGGCAACCTGCTCGCTGAGAGGCAGCAGCTCTACTGCACCACCGTGCTGCCCAACAAAGAGAATAAAACTGAAAATAACAATAAGTAGTAAAACACAAATAATAGATTTCTAATGAGTCAAAATGAACCCTTACATTTTGCTGAATACAATATAAAATATGTAAATGTGCAAAATATATATCCTGAAGATTACATTATTAAATCATCCAGTTATTTTTCTGTTTCTTACCTTGAGTTGTGTTAATGCAGCAGTTTCAGAAATCCTTATTTGTTTATTTTGAACTATTTACGCATGTAAGGCTCAAGCATTGGTTTACCGGAGCGTCCGGTAAACCTCTCAACAGCATCAGAGCGTCTTTGAATAATTTTGATTTGAAACAGAGGGGAAATAATTCTGAACATTCAGAGAAATGGCTTTAAAAAAATTGAGTTTAGTTTTTAGTGTTTTTTTTTTTTTATGAACAGCTTATGTGCTTTTGCTTTTTTTTTTTTTTTTTTTGAACCTGTGCAGGTTTTATGTTTACGGTAATATATTTAAAGAGGTACAACATTTCTAGTTACTGTATTACAGTCAAAGTCTTCAAATGTCGGACCACGGTGCAACTCCAGGACTTAGTAAAGGCTCACCTGGACCCAGATTGGTTGCTACATTTTAATTTAACATCTTTGTTAGCTGTTTTTTTTTTTATTATTGTTTTACCTTGGCCTGTTTTCTCATATTTACGGTAATTTCCAGTACAGGGGCCGTCTTAACTCGGACCCAAATGAAGTCTCATCTGGACCCAGATTATTTGCTAAAGCCAAATAAAATGCAAATAGAAATATATAACCTTTACATGTTTTCTTATATTTACAATAAGAGTCCTAATACGTCAAAAGTAAAATTTTAAAAAGCAAAGTGTCATCTAGACCCAGACTGGTTGCTACATTTCCGTGATTTTTTAAAATTTATTTAACTTGTACACATTTTGTGCATTTAATGTAATTTACAGTTAAAGTTAATAAAGACCGAACTGCAGTACAAAGAAAGAAAAAGACAGAAAAAAAAATACAAATAAATGAAATATACTGTAAGGTATGGAGCCAAACGTATTGAACTTGTGGCTCATATTTGTAAATTTTTTTAGTTTTTTTTTTTTTATCTTTTCGTGTTGGCTTGGATTTACGGTAATTAATCAGAAGGCCCTGATATTCTAGATTTTACGGTAATTTACAATAAGTTTTCAGAGATGAAAAAAAAATGATCAGGGCTTAGATTTGTTGGTAAATTTAATTTAAGTTGTTTATTTTCCTGTCCGTGTTTACATAAATTTATCAATACTGTTGGATTTACGGTCATTAATCCTCGAAGGCCGTGATATTCCAGACCTTACGGTAATTTCCGTGACGTCTAGTTGCGTTGCGCAGCTTCCTTCTTCATCCTGATTTAATTGTTTATATTAACAGAAATATATAGGGAAGCAAACTTTGACCCTCTTTAAAACGTACTGAGTCTGTTCTTTCATTGCAGGTCAAAATCTGGTTCCAGAACCGGAGGATGAAGTGGAAACGCAGCAGGAAAGCCAAGGAGCAGGCTTCGGCCTCCAGCCAGGCAGAGACTGATCGACTGCGCGGCGGAGGAAAAACTGTCACCGACAAGTCCGACGAGAGCGGACGAGGTGTGAACCCAGACAGCCGGGGGATGGATTTTAGCTTAGAGGAGGAGGAGGAGGAAGAAGAGGAAGAGGAGGAGGAGGAAAGCAAACATGGCTACCCCGTTGCTCTGAGTAACAGGATGCCACGACCCACGGACTTCCTGCCACGTGGCAACAAGCTCGGCTACGACCCTCACAGCCCGTTCTCCGATGAAGAGCTGGAGGGGGTCCAGGTGGGAGGGGGGGACAGGAAGATCGGCGCCGGACTGTAAAACGTGTTTATGTGAAAAGACAGAAACTTACGAGACATTTTCAAAAATTAAAACATGCAGTGCAAAAAAAAAAAAAAACTTTAAACCACTACGGTGAATTTTGTAGCACGCAGAACAAAAAGCCGCTCATAAATGTGTTGATTCCACCTCTGACAGCCGGAGCTCCAACCTGCAACCAGAACCAAGGAAACCGTCCTGGACCTTTCAGAACCGTAAATGTGTTGAACTTAATTTAGCGCGTGGTGTGTAAACGTCGTTGTTTGTCCTCGTCTTTTACGTGTCGAGAAAATTAATTTATTTAAACGATTCTAAGAATAATTGTCATGTATTTATCTTAAAAACTTATTTGTGGTGCAACTGTGAAATAAACGTGTAAAAATCGCAGAGTCCAGACTGAACTGGATTATTCTTGTGTGTAAAAAAAATAATAATTCACAGCAAAAACGGATGACGACATAAACCTTTCTGCCTTTTTAAAGCAGACGCTCGTTTTTGTTTTTAACTAAAGGTCTAATATAAATAAAGAAACACGCAGGATGCTCGGAGCTGTTGACAATATTCACATTTTATTACCATCAGTTTAGTTTATTTTTAAATCTTTTCATCAACTCTGTTTCCTTAAATCGTCCTCAATCATAAAGACAGATCCAAAATAAAAAATTAATCAAAGTCAGAAACTGAATCCACTCAATTTAATCTCATATCAACGTGTTCTTACCCTCCTGCTGCCCTGGGCTCAAAATGACCCACAAGGCCTCAGTTTTAAAATTGAAGCTTTTTGGGTTATTTTGACCCAAGGGCAGCAGGAGGGTTAAAATAAAAACTGGTGCGCTAAATGTGCTCCTGTTTATCTACTGAACCAGCCGAAATGTGTTTACCTATGAGCCTAGCCGAAGTGTGTTTCTTTACCTATAGAAACAACTGAAGTGTTTGTTTTACCAAAGTAAACAGCCAAAGTGTGATTCTTTACCTGCCCATGAAACCAGCCGTAATGTTTTTCCACGTACAGAACAAGCTAAAAAGTGTTTGTTTACTTACAGGAACAGCTGAAGTGTGTTTGATTATGTAGGGAACCTGCCAAAGGTTAAAGAAATTAAAAGAGCTGATTGTGGTGGGGAAATCTGACAGTTCTGGTGCGTTGATGCATATTTATTTATTTGGTACATATTATAAACGAGATGGGACCATATTTTAAAGAAAAAATACTTAAATATTTTCCTACTACCTCAGAGTGAAACTCCTGTGTGTATTTTATTTTGTCACAGAGAATGTTGCTCAGCCTTAATGAAGTATACGAGACGAGAGTTGGACGCTGGCGCACGTTAGGTGCCGATACTCTCTGGAATCTGTTGATTTTGCTAATTTATGGATTTTATTTTTGTTGATTTTATCTGTCCTATACCTGCAGACAAGGGTGACATTTGACTTAAGACTTACTAATATTTTTTTCCCTAATTCTGGATAACTCACTGGACAACTGGTTCCACAACAAGCCACTGGCACCACGTTAAAAGTATGACGTGTTGAAGCTCAACAACACTTTCTCCATGGTGTACATCTGTCTAAAAATTTGAACTTCTTTGTCATCCCCCATATATCCAGAGGATCCTGCAGAAAGTTTTTTTTATTTTCCTGGACTGCTGACTCCATTCTTTCCTTCTGGTCTGCAGCACCTGGTTCGTACGTCTACATCCTCAGAGTACCGGCACTGGGATTTTTTTTTTTTTTTTTTTTGCCAAAGTAACTCCAGCGTTTGTGAAATGAATGATGTGGAGTGGATTTCAGCTTGCAGCACCCACTTCAGAGCTCAAAGTATTTTAAACCGATCATGATGGAACTGCTTAACATGCAGTCCCTCATTAACAAATCCCGTTTGATCCACGACTATCCTGGACAAGAGTTTAGATTTAAAGTGCCTAACTGAAACCTGGCACCGACCCGACGCTCTTCACCCTAAACGAGGATTTCCCTGCTGGTTCTGCCTCCTTCCTGGCAGCTCGCAGCACTGGCCATGGTGGTCTGACTGTCATTTATCACAAAGATCTGGATTTATTCCCACTGTCTGCCCAAAATCTCCTCCTTTGAATGCTCAGCTTCCAAATCCAAGACTTCCATCCAAATTACATATTTTCTCACCTACCGGCCACCTAAACGAAAACCAAACGTTATTCCAGAATTTTCCAATCTATTCTCTACATTCTGCGGTTCCTGCAAACGTTATGACTCTTGGTGGCCTGAACATCCATGATGACTCTCCCTCCTGACGTCATTGGAAAGAAAAGCTTTGCAGAGAGTGGTGAAAGCTGCACAGAAGTCTGTTGGAGTCAGTCTCCCCACCATCAGACATCTACACCTCCAGATGCAGGAAGAGGGCCACCTGCATCATGAAGGACCCCACTCACCCAGCACACACACTTTTTGCCCCACTCCCCTCAGGCAGGAGGTTGGGGAGGATTAAGTGTAGAACCACTAGACTGAGGAACAGCTTCTACCCTGAGGCTGTTAGACTCATGAATCCCTAATCAGGATAATCACTGTGAAAAATCATATCATGCTGCTGATTTATTTCATGCTGCTGTGTTCATTCATACTCATCTGCTCACACAGACTCATGTTCGTGCCGCTGTTCGGCGTATTGTTTTTGTACTGCTAGTGCTTAGCGTATTTTTAGTTAACGTTTTTCTTAGTTCATATCTTAGAGGTTATTACTGTTTTTCTTTTACATTTTATACTTTTGTTGGATGTAACTGTGTACACAATTTCATTCCATCACATGTACCACAGGTGGCGCATATGACAAATAAAGAAACTGACTGTGACTCTCATGCAGCCGAATTTCTCCAGCTGTAGGACTGATTTAATCTCAGGCAGCATGTTGATGTTCCCATGCACTACCGAGGTCACACTCTGGATCTCGTCATTGTGTTCAGTTGTATAATCTGGGTGTCTCAGATCATATTACCATCTCACTCGAGCTGCCAAGTCTATCCCTTGGATCAAAAAGAAACATCAGATCTCATTCAGAAACATTAAGAATATAAACACTGAAATTATGGCAGCCTATCTTTCACATGGTCTTTTTCTGAAAGCCCTACATCGGTAAATGATCCAGTGGAAACCCTGAGCAGCCTTATGGATCTCCATGCCCTCATCAGAACTAGAGCTGTTCTCTTCGTGTGCTCTGCTCCCTGGTATAATTCTGAATTGTGGAAAATGAAAGCTGCAGGGCATGCTTTAGAATGGAAATACAGAAAGTCTGCTGGCCACAAACAAGCCTACTGGGAGCACCTAAAGGTTTATTCCAAGTCCCTGAAAGAGGCATGATTGCTCCATTTCTCCATCATTCAGTGCAACCCAGGACACTCAAAGCAACTTTTCACTACCGCCTCCTTGGACCATGTTCTCCCATAACCTCTCAACGCTCCACTGCTGATCAGTGCAGTACATTTTTTAACTGTTTTTGTACCTAAATTGGCTCAAGACACTCTGCTCTATCGCTACACTGTGTTAATCTAAACAGACCGTTGAACCACAACTCAAGATCGCTCTGCTCCTTCTTTCCTTCTCGGCTTATCTTTAGCTTTCTTTCTCAGCAGGAGATTTTGGACATTGTCAGGAAGATGAAGCCCATTAGATGCGCCCTTGACCCTCTGGTGAAGACAGCTATTTCTAGTATTAGTCTATTATACACCACTATCATCAACACCATCATCATCATCTCTTCAGTCTGGTTTTGTTCCAGCACCAATGAGAACTGCCAAAATCAAACTTTTGAAAAGACCCACTCTTGACATGGAAATCCTAACAAACTACAGACCCATAGCTCATCAAGAGATGGTGATGGCAGCAGATGCAGGCTCACCATCTCTTCTTATCCTTCCCGGCTTGTCTTCAGCATTTGACACTACTGATCGCAATATTCTCCAGAACCGCCTCTTTCTCTCTCTTGGGCTTCATGATACTGTTCTTGACTGGTTCGGGTCCAAACTTTCAGACAGGACTGAACACGTTGCCATCAAAGAAGCCAAGTCAAAGACTCATACTGTCACTTGTGGGGTTCCTCAAGGGTCAGTCCTTGGCCCTACTCTCTTCGCATTCTTCATACTTCCTCTTGCTCAAGTCACCAGCCACCATGGAATTTCTTTCCACTGCTATACCAATGACACTCAACTTTACACAGAAACTAACAGCCACCATTTGCTTCATCACCCTCATCACCAATCTCCACACTCGCCATCTGTCTGGAGGAGATAAAGCCAATGATGTATGAAAACTTTCTCCAGCTGAACAGCTCCAAAACTGAGGCCATACTGACTGACACCCCATCAGCTTCAGTCATCCCCCAAAACAGCCAGAACCTTTTCTGGTCAGACATTTTACACTCCATTGTGAACAACCTTGGTGTCCAGTTTGATCCTCACCTTTCCTTTTACTCTCATGTTAAATATGTAAAACCTAATTTTTTCATCAGAAAATCATTGTAAGCCTCAGCTCTTCGCAATCTCTGTCTGACACGGAAAAACTTCTCCATGCCTTTGTGTCTTCAAGACTGGATGATTGCAATTTGACTTTTTGGCATTTAATAAAATATTCAAAAGCTCTAGTTGATCCAGAAAAGCACACTCATGAGAAAAAAAAAACAAAAAAAAAACATGAGCACATCCCACTAGTCCTACATTGACTTCAATGGCTTCCTGTCTATGCCAGAATCCAGAACAAGATCTGTCTTCTGACACCACAGTGCAGACATGGCCCCCTCTACCTCAAGGAACTGCTCATCCCTCACATCAAAACTTGTTCTCTTCGTTTCAACAAATCATCCCATCTTCAAATTCCCAGAACTAGACTCGACACTACGGTGGACCGAGCCTTTTGCTCTGCTGCTTCTCATTAATGGAACTCACTTCCAAAACACCTGAGCGAACCACAGAATCCTTAAAAATAATAATTAAAAAAAGGGATTCAAAATATCCTGATGCATGCTCAATAATCCAGGTAGA